TGAAAGAGTAATTTATTATTTTATTAAATTAGTTATGTTTGATTGCTTAAAAGTATGCTTTACTTCTAGGTACTTCATTTTTATCTTGTAACAGCTTTAAATATTGTTACTAAAATCTTGTAATTTTAAATAAATAATTTAAATAGAAAAACATTAAAATATATGTTAACGACAATGTTTGAAGTGCAGGCGTTTCACACAAAGAATGTATTTTATTTTTAAATGTTCTTGTCTGTAAGTTGCCACTGAGTATTAAATAAAAATTATTGCCATGTTCCATCACTGGAGTTTGCTTCAAATTGCAAAAGAAGTATCACAGTCTTAATTATTTTGGAGGCACTGGCTGACATCGAATAATCATGCGTATTCTTATTTTATTAGTTCATTACTGAACGTAATATTAGTGTGTGTATGTGATTATGACAAAGCCTTGAGGGCTATCTGCCTAAAGGGTGGGATGCCTTTGTGGAGGACTTTCTAATGGAAACTGGCTTGCATACACGTCACACATGGAGAAAACAACGAAAATGCCCATGCAGTCAGCCCATTTGTGGGATTCGAACCTTGGACCGAACTACCAGTGTTCAGCGACTTTACCGCTGGTTGGCCTGAACGTAATATTAGTGATACCAGATTATTACAGTTAATATTGAATTGTCTTATTTTATTACTGTATTGGATATTATTTTTAATATTCATTTTAGTTGTTCAACAGTAGACATATATGTTGTTATTTTTATTTCAGTGATAATTAATGTGGTAGAGAGTGAACTTCATATAATTTAAATATTTCACTTTCAAGGTTTGCATATTTAACAGAGTGCATTTAATTCTGTGATGCCTGACTGCATTAATTACTTAAAGTAATTGATTTGAGCTATTTCGAGGAAGTATAAAGAACACAGTGTTCATTAATTTTAAACATAGAAACAATGTCTTACTTAGGAAGAACTCTCAAGGAAGATTTGGAAAATCTCACGGCTGAACTAGGAGTTCATGTGACTGCAGATTTGAAAATAGTCGATTTAAAACAGAAAATTGTTGAAAGCAGAGATTATGACAAAGTATTCGTCAAAGAAGTCTTAAACACAATAATACAAGAACAAAAAGAGAGGGAGGAAAGAGAAGAACGTAGGAGGCAGGAAGAAGCAGAAGAGCTGAGAAGGAAAGAACAGTATGAATTAGATGGATTAAGACTTGAAGCAGAGACAAAGTCTCAAACTACTAGGCAGGTCTGGCCGAAAACGGAGCTGCGTCACCTTATGCAGAAATTCGATGACAAGAAAGGAGATATCAGTCTATATTTGCTACTGTTTGAAAGGCAAGCAGAATGGGCTCAAATTGATAAAGAAGAATTTGTATCTCATTTATTAGGAATACTTCCTTACGAAGTAACACAGTTAATAGCTAGTGAACCCTCCGATAAAGCTAAAAACTATGAACACATGAAGAATTTATTGTTAAGATGGTTTAAGCTAAGCCTGGAAAAGTTTAGGCAGAAATTAATGAACATCAAAAGAGTACCGAATCCACATGGGTTGATTTTAACTATGAAATAGAAAATTATTGCAAAGAATGGGTGACTGGTCTAGGAGTTGAGACATTTGATCAATTGCTAGATTTGATGGTGATCGACCAACTTAAACATCGAGTTCCTCCTGAAATTCGAGATCATTTTCTTGATGAGTGGGTAGAGATGATTTCATTTAAAAAATTAGCTGAAAAACTTGATGCCTGTGAAAACGTTCGCAGAAACATTAAAAAAAGACAACTGCTTTCCTTATGCTGAACGTGGCAAAAGCCTTTGACCACGTATGGCATAACAGACTTATCTACAAGCTCGCTTCCCTCGATCTCCCCAGAGAAACGATTTTGAATCTTCACTCCTTTCTAAGTGATCGATCCTTCTATGTCAGGCAGGGCGATGTTTATTCTGAAAATACATGAATTAAAGCCGGCGTCCCCTAGGGAGCATCCTTGGGCCTATTCTCTATTTTATATATGTTAAGGACTTCCCAATGATTGAAAATACAAACTGCATCAGCGCCTGCTACACGGACGATACCGCCATTCTTTCTAGTTCACTTAATCCACGACATGCCATGATCAGAATACAAAACCACACGCACGAGATAAAGGAATGGTGTCGCAAATGGAGGTACAGAAGGTAGGATAGATGACACAGAAGAAAAAACAGTGATGCAGATCTCACCCTCTTTAATGAAACAGTAGCCAAAGTCAGAGAGGCTACATATTTGGGAGTTCGTTTTAATGGTTTGCTTACATGGCATCCTCACATTTCCATGACCATCGGAAAAGTCACAGGAGTCTTTAGGAAGCTCCGGAGCTTTCTTGAAGCCTTCTCACCATTGGATCTTGCTCTCAAGAAGCACATTTACACATCAATATTAAGACCTATCCTTACATATGCTTCCCCTGCATGGTGATCTGTTCTCACCTCTGTATTAAATAAATTGCAGATTTTCCAAAACAACTACTTAGGAAAAATCACAAGAGCCCCCTGGTTCGTCCGCAATGAACAGCTACACAGAGACCTTAAACTGAAAGTCTGGCGTTACTCATCAATAAATTAAATAATAATTTTTTCAAGAAAGCCATCACCAACGCGGAGATAAATTATTCAGACAATTTTAAGTACGAGCTCCTAGAAATTGACATCAATTTAAGCTATGCAACCCACATTTATCGGAATTCCCTATAAATACTCTTAATTTCTTCCAGCCAATTTCGAAGTTTCAAAGCATGACAATTTCATTTACACTGGCCTGGGCCACATCTACACAATCTTCCTGCAGTTCCTTGTCAAGGTCTTCCCGCGAAGCACTGTATGTTATGTCTCCCCTAACCGGGGTTATTTGAAGTGCCTGTAATAGCGGGATATAATTCCTGCTGAAACAGGCATATCAAAAGTATCAAAGTTCAAAAAAGGCCTGTAATGGATCGGCATAGAGAAAGATACAATGCACTAACTCATAGTAAAGTGAGTTCAGATAATAAAATAAAACTGAAAAAAAAAATTGTCATCAGGATTTAATTCGCAAAGCTAGTTCCATAGACCTAGAAGTCCGCGTCCAGATGATAAATATGAAAAACGAAAGGTGCCACAATGTTATCAGTGAGGATCCTATCAGCATTTAAGATCCCAATGTTAAAAACTTAAGCATAGTACTGAATCTCCTGCTAATCTTAATAGAATTAGTGCAAAACCAGAAGATAAATTTATATTACCTTATACTAGTATGGGTTACGTAAATGGTCATAAAATTCCTATATTAAGGGATACAGGTGCAAGTATTGATACAGTTTGTCGCAATATATCACACCGGAAATGCTGACAGGTGAAAATGTGTGGGTGCAACGCCATTAGATTTGAATCCAACCTGTTTACCATTAGCAGAGGTTGAACTAAATTGCGATCTTGGGCGAGTAATGACTAAGGCTGCAATTATTAGAAATGAACTCGACATAGGAAGGTATTTATTCCGGCAATCGAACTTTTGCACTGTTGAATAAACAAAGAAAGGAACCTGATAGTCGTCCTCATAAGGTTAATGCCATCTCTACTAGAGCTCAAAGGAAAACAAAAATAACTGAACGTGATGAAGAGAAGCTCTTGGAACCGATGGAGGAAGAAATTGAAGCATCCAGAGATGTCTTTGAAGAAGAAATTAAATTACCAGAATTAAACATGGAAGATGATGCTCTTGTGAAAGTATTATACATTGACTCAAAAAAGGTTGAAAGTAATGGCGTACATATAATTCCTGAAAGTGCAGAAACTGAATTAAATGTGCAAGATAAAATGTCGAAAAGAAATTACTATGTGAAAAGAAGAATTTATTTTATTGTTTTTCCTTTACTTTTTTGTTTGCGTCTTTTCAATTTTTGTTTCCGAACTTTTTAAATTTTCCCATGGCCTGTGCACATTTGTGCAGCAAACTGTCACATCTACCTATAAATCGATCACACATAAATTCGAAGATGTTCACGAAAATTTGAAAAATGATAAAAGAAGTTAATATTGAAAATCCTTTTGCAATGCAACTTTATCATCATTCTTTTGTTTTCGATTTAATATCAAAGGTGCTAATAATAGATGAAGAAAACAACTGTCGAAAGCAAATGGCAATTGAATATTATCCAAAAGGCACAGATGAACTGAAGAAAGCCTTTGCTGTGAATTATAGCCGAGGAACTGGTCCAACATGGAAGAGATCTAGGCGCTGTTAAGAAAAAAAGGAAGACTAATTTTAATACTGTTCATTTTCTTATTATTCACATTCTATTTAAATGTGGTGTAAAACTATTTGTTGAAAACTTAAAATTTTGGTTTAAACTTTGGAACTTATGAGAGAAATTACTTTCTCTTAAAATAATTGAGGAGGCCGAGCTCATAAACTTTAGAATTTTACAGAACTTTTCCCTTTGGAAAAAGTCTCTCCGTTGGGGGTAGAGGTTGTAACAGCTTTAAATATTGTTATTAAAATCTTGCAATTTAAAATAAATAATTTAAATAGATGAACATTAAGGTATATGTTAAAGGCAATGTTTGAAACACAAGCTCGACAGCCACGTGAAGAATGTATTTATTTTATTTTTAAATGTTAGAATATGTTTTCTCTTCTTGTTTGTATGACACCTTTTTGAGTGTTAAATAAAAATTATTGCTGTGTTCATCAATGGAGTTAGCTTCAAATTGCGAAAGAAGTATCACACTCTACATAAAGTACATTATACGGTTTTTCCATATATTTAATCTATATCACTATGCATACATATAATCTACATAACTGTTTTTAGAATGTTTTCTAGAACATTTTCTAGAAATCAGAAGCATTTGTAAGCTCATCATTAAAATGATTTCCAATTGTCAAATATAATCTGGTCTCTAATTGTTGAATAAGCAGAATATAGCAATAAACTAAATTTAACTTTTAATCTTCATGCAAATAACAATAAATTAAACATATTTTACACACCAGTGTAAGCAACGCATTCATCCCAGCCAGGTTTCCTCCAAGCTGCTTCTCGAATTTCTTTCCTACTCAACAGATCTTTATAACCTGAAAAGGGAGAGATTATATTTTTAAGAAAATTAACAAAATTACTTGTTTAACTACATAAAAAAGAAGGCACACTATAGAAATCCATTTTGATGCAAATCAAACAAATTAACATGATTAACCATAATTAAATTAATAAGAAATATATGATTTTTATGAATAATTTTGACATTTCTAAAACATCAAACAAGAACTCATTCCATAAATTAGTACTAATGTTAGTAATTTTCTTTAAAATTTTCATAGTTTTGGGGATGTCCTGACTTATGCATACATGAAATATTTGCATACCGTTTGGGAGGGAAATATATTAATGGGAAATACTCTTAAATTAAAAAAGAAACTTACTCCAAATATGATGAACCATATAAAGTTGGCCAATTTGAGAAAAAAATCCAGCAACTGCACTACTTTTCCTATAACTTATTCCTCTGGCCCTAGTTAAAAATAATTGAAATTAATACAGGTTCAAGATAACAACACTGATTTACATCATGTTTAATCACATTAAGAAACATAACTGAACATATGCTATAAATAAAAGACTTACCAATTATTACCCCATTCTATCATAGTACCAGGCTGAAAGATAAATTACACTTCTAGAATGCATGAATATAAAATTACACACATTTCATGTGAAATAATTGGGCAAAAATCATATCAGAAGTATTATTTTCAATCTCTTTAACCAAAATAAAAAGATTATATAGTACTTGAATATTTTGTTGTTGAAAATTTTCAATAATGTCACTAAACTGTTCAGTTTATAGGTAATAATGCATAAGTGCAACATCATAATGCACTCATAAAAGCTTTGCTTTGCTTTTATGCAACCTTGATCTTCAGTAAGCAAAGTTATGTTTATGCTTCATAAGGAAGTTATATGTTAAAAGGAATAAACTTGGGACCTGCTTCTACAGAATGGCAAGCACTGGAGAATTTTCAATATAGCAGGATTGGTTACACAGATCTCATATTCAAAACATTCACAGACTTCAGAATTCATCAAAATAGTTCAATAAAAAACATTGTTGAAGAGCACAACAATTAGATTTGTATTTAAGTGAATTTATGCAGTATTGTGTTCATAAAGGATGTGCCAGTTTTGTTATTTTACATTTTATTACCAATTTTTTAGTGCTAGTTAGCTAGTTTGATGCTAAACTAGTGCTTGTTTAATTAATGTAGTTAGTTAGAGTCATGCTAGTTTTAATGAAACCCTTTGTCAGATAAATGTCAAAGCTTGAGCTTGCAGTTATTTAAGTTTAGGAGCCATATTTGAAACCTGTATTTGCTAAATACATAATTAAATATAGAGTGATTATGTAACTAACTAAAGAGCAGTTTTTTCCTTCAAACATTCACCAGAATTGTTGGTACAGTTGTGGCAGTATATTTGCTAACTTTCGTGGTCGATGGAAAAATATATTAGTACCAGTTATATACATTTCCAGGACTGCTCTAATAACACCAGAACAGATGATGTGAAAAACGTAACCTTTTAATATGTTTCGAAGTAATCCCCATCCGTCGTAATACACTTCTGTGCTCGGCTGTATAAGTTGTGGTGTGTGTGTTGAGTTATGGCAAAGCACAAGGGCTATCTGCCTAAGGGGAGGGATACCTTTGTGGAGGACTTTCTAAGGGAACTGTCTGGTATACACGTTATACATGGAGAAAACCACGAAAACGCCCATGCAGCCAGCTTATTCGTGGGATTCGAACCTCGGACTGAACTACCAGTGTTCAGCGACTTTACCGCTGGGCCACTGGTGGGCCCTGTATAAGTTGTGGAAACGACTTTTAAAGTCCTCTTTTGGAAGGCTCATCAATGTTGATATTATGTTGCATGATAACGCCCACCCCCACATTGCGTTCCCAGTGAAGAGGTTTTTGGTCAAGCATGAGGTCGTGGAGCTGCATCATCTGCCATACTCTCCTGACCTGCCCTCCACAGACTTCTTTTTGTTTCCCAAACTAAAAACTGTGATCAAAGGAATACACTTTGTGGATGTTGAAGACATCAAGAAGAATGTGACGTTGACATTGAAGAGCCTTCCAAAAAAGGACTTTAAAAGTTGTTTCCACAACTTATACAGCCGAGCACAGAAGTGTATTACGGTAGATGCGGATTACTTCGAAACATATTAAAAGGTTACGTTTTTCACATCATCTGTTCTGGTGTTATTAGAGCAGTCCTGGAAATTAATAGCCACACCTTATAATATATATTGATAAATAGTTCACACAAATAAAAAAAAGACGGCAGTAATGAAATTCATTAGCAATATACAATATGACTGTTAAAATCATAAAATGCATATTACTACATTTATGAAAAGTATGACAACTTTTTTTATGAAATCCTCAAGTATTAATGTATAATTTAAGATTTCAATTATGCTAAAAATTGTTATGAAAAGTAAATTTGCTTCTCTGCAGAGGTCAACCTTCAAAATTCAATCAATGTACATAATAAAACTGACAAAAAGCATTCTATAAAATATTCAACAATCTGGTATTTCATACACACATTTTTAATTTCATGGAATTCTTCAAAAATACTTACAAACTGATTTTAATCACTTTTATCAAAATTTAAAATTTTTTCTTATTATATTGCAGGGTACTCTTCTATTAACAGGATCAGATTCAGAAATGTCTATATATATGTATGTGAATGTATATGTGTATACACACACATGGACATACATACATACATTTCTGAATTTGGTCCTGATAACAAGGAGTACCCATTGCAGTTATGTTATACTTGCTATACTAAAGATTACCATAACAAATTTAGACAAAACAATTACAAAAAGGGGGTAGCAGGAATCTCACAAATATTTTACTTCTAAAAAAAAAAAAAAAGAGCCTACTCTTGCTAACTCAAAATAAGTTGTTTCTCTTTCTTTCTTCTTCTTCTTCTTTTTTTTTAAACATAAAAAGGTATTTTAATAATTCTACATTATTAGAAATAAATGTTATTAATGATGTTCATGGCATAACATAAGCTTTTGTGTGGGAGGAGACTTTTTGCACACTAACAAATTTTTTTTTTTTTTTTTGCAAAAAATTGTACCAAAAATGAAGTCCTGGTAAAATTACTTTTTTAATACTAGAGATATATGTAAGGTCTTATGTATCACTGGCAATACTGCTGATTTATCATGGATACAATTCTGAAATAACAGACATTTCAAAGAAGGAAAAAACACGCAATATCTTGAAAGCTTGAAATTTCATATTTAGAACCTACTGAATTTTGGTATGATTAAAATACCAATAACATGAAAATACTGTGAATAACATACATACTTTTAAAACATATGACCTAATTTCATACATGCTATTACGATTCTGAGGCTCAGGATCACCCCAGTAACTGAATGGCAGCATATACTGATTCGTTCGAGATATAATGTTCTTGACTAGACTCTTCGACAAGGAAAGAAGCTCTTGATCTTCACGGAACAATGACAATACTTCATTTGCATTTACATAGCCTTTGTTATATCTCCATATATGGACTGAAATATAAAAACAGTTTTGCAAATAAAATAGAAATTTTAAAGGACATTAGAAATTAGAAGGCATTTACAATTTAAATAAATTTGAATCTAACTTCAACTATACAAGTATTTCACAATAAATAAATTTTCGTTTAAAAAAAAATTCATTGATGAGCTTCTTCTGCATTATTTTCATATATATACTCTGCATTTATGTAGCACTTTTGTTTGTCAGCTAAAAATTTTTTATTAAAAAAAACTTAATTGGTTTGAAACTTGTATTTAAAACTCACAAAACCATTAATGAGCTAAAAGAAGAACAATCATTTATAGTTTAATAAAGACAAAAGATTAAATAATTCTCTTTACAAAAATCCAACTGTAATTTTATATCACAAATAATTAATGCATGTGCATCTATAAAATGGATTCAAATAAAAAAATTGCTTTGTCAAAAGCCATTATCTTTATCAGTTTATCAAAGGCACCCTGCACTGCTATTATTTGTGAGATAAAAGCTTAAATGAAGTTTTTAAAGAGAATTATTTAATCTGTAGTTCTCTAAACTATATGATAATTCATTTTAGCTCGTTAATAGTTTTACCGGTTTTAAATAACAGCTTTATATACTATATATAGAATCCTTTACATTTTTTATAACTTAAAAATTAATTAATTCTTGGCATTTTCAATACTGATGATGTTTTTAATATCCCTTGAAATCTTTTTAATATGCTTCATGATTCTGGTTTGTGTTCAGCATAGTTTTGAAATGGTTGTCATATTAAACTATGGGAAACAGTATCCCTCAATATTATCATTGAATGATTATGTTTATTATGCAAAGTGCAACTGTATTTATAGTAATAGCTTACAAAGTAGGGATAAGGTTACAAGAGACAAAAACCACCTCCCTAAATGAAATATTAGCTATTGTTTTAAGAAGGAATAACAGATTAATGAATTTAAATCTAATTTTCATCAAAATATTCTGCACCTTCAAGAAGACAGATATCTGTCATATTTCCTCAGGATGCATAAAACTTTTCTAAAACATTAATTTAAGGCTAAATATTGAAAATTTTAAAAATGACCAGATGACAGACCAGACAAGCATAATTCACAAATAATAATAATTACAATATCAGTGCATATTATAGTAATTATAACATGATTAATGTTACTAAATTGATCTTGATTTCCAATTTCCACTCGCCAGCTTCCCACTAATTCTGTCTGTTCGGACTTTTTCTGTAAAGTCTGGGTTAAAGCTTCACTGGAAAAAGAGGAACACAGAAATATAGGGAAAAATATGACAAGAAATTCTTATAATTCAAGCACATACACAGACAAATCAATTACTGTTCAAATGACACAGAAAAACTGCCCTGTCAAATTGTCCTCATTAGTTTTATTTCACAATTTTTTCTAAATACTCAGTTCATTTTTAATTATTTTTTACATGACCCCTTCTAACAGAAATATATTAAATAGACAGCCAGATACCAACTTCTTCAGCAGATGCTAGGTATACATTCACTATTACAATTATTTTCTTTTTGCTCAGTGTACCATGAACAACCTAAGTTATTTAGTAGAAGTCCTTCATTTGTTCCATACTTTCTTGCCCAAAGTTGTCTTTAATGTTCATATGAAATTGCTAAATTTCTAATTTCTCCATAAATTCAAAAAATTTCCAATAAAAGATGAAACTTAATTTTAATATAGTGTTTGGTACTTATACACAGAGCTATCAGATCATGTGGTTTTCTCATATTTGCTACTTTTGAAAAACCTGTGCTACTAAAATTTATGCCTACAATTTCGTGAATTTTTGCAATTTTATCAATTCCTTGTGTTACTTTACCTTTTTAATATATCACAAAATTCGTAAAGAAATGTACCTATAGAAATTATTATTAAAAAGAAATAATTTAGTTAAATAAAAGTATTAATTGGCAATTCTGTGATCATGGTACGTGGCACTCAATACCAATACTAATAGTTTGTATTTTAGTGTGCTTCATTGGTTACTTTATTTCATATTTCAATGAGCTATTCATAAAACTCCAAAATTTAAGTCAGATTATATGCTTTGTTAAATCAGGGCTGGTGCAACTGATGTAGTCACAGTGGGCAGCAGAAATTATGAGATAAAACTTTTTGTAATTTAGAATGCAAGTCCAGCAGTAAAATTTAGGGATGGCAAGCATTCTGGTAAAAAATTAATTGGCTATGAGTTTTCAACTAGTCTCAAAGTCAGCAATGAATTCAGGACTTTTCAGTGGCCGAGTCGATAATAAGATAGTACCAAACAATCAGTATTTTCTATGAAAAGTACTTAAAGTGTAAGCAGTTTAAGGAAATTTTATCCACTACTTACTATTCTTTTAAGTATGGTTCGATGCAGTCTGGCTTTACATCATGAACTGAAATAAAAAATTATAAATTCTGAATACAAAATGACTCATTAGTTTTATTCAGCATGAGCACATAGTTTTTACATGTTAGACATTCATTTTACATAAATATAGCATGTATACTCTTCACAGGTAGTATGAAAAACTATTGGCACAAAAGTATCAAGAAATAATGTAATTTCAATCACATTCTTAATAAATTGATTTAATACGAAAGTACAGAACTAATTTTTAGTGTAAAAAGGAAATAATTCAAGGGGTGTCAGCTCCATTTCTTTTCCACAGAACATGGAAATCTTGGCTGCCAATACTACTTGGGAACAGAGCAGGTAAGCTTCTACCAAAGTGCTTAAAATCAAAAGTTAGAAAGCCAGCCTTGTTTGGAAGCAATGATTAAGTCCTGGCATATAATAAATAGCAATCAATGATCCTTATCCACTAATGTTATTAAAAATAATTGCATGCCTACTTATAAAATAAAATTAACACACTTAAAGAAAAAACAACTAAACTCGCTTTGTTCAGATTGTTACTAAAGTGTGGGAAACAAAAAATTCTAAGAAATATTGATAGATTTACTAGGTGACAAAATGATTTTTTTTTTATGATAAAATCCTAAAAATGAACCATGGCAGAATAGAATGTGATGAAGAATTGTGTACAGATAGTTTGTCGAATTATTCCTGCTAGGAGCTTAGTGATGATCAAATTATACAACATCCTAGGACTTTTTTTCTGACCAAGAATTTCACACAGTTCTGATTCAAGTCCAGATTCAGATGATTCCGATTCTGAAGAATGGTCATCAGCATACAATCCACCAGCCTTGGCGAGTTTTTAAGCCGCCCAGGAATAAATACAAAAAACATTCCAGATAGTGTAGCATACATAGTACATACAGTCAAAAGTCGTTAATTCGGACCTCAAAGCTACAAACTTTCTGCGCATGCGTCACGTTGACGCATGTGCATAGGCGTTTACGTGTGCGTGTAAGACCTTTACGGCTGCGAATATGTGTGTGCGCATGCAAGTTTAATGTACAATGGACGGTATAAGCTAAGCTAAAAGTATCTAATTCAGTTAATGTTGCAGATTGTGTTGTTCCTTAATCTTCGAATTAGATCCGACTTATTATTTTTTTGCAGACTGTTAGAGCAATTTTATAAAAGTAAGATTGAACTTTTGATTATGTCAAATAGAATTTCTGATATATATTTACTAATATGTAAAGGATCTACAAAGCGAAAGTATGTTTCGAAGTCCATTAAACAGAAAGTGGAATTGCTGCAAAAAATGGATAAAGGCATATCCTTTGATTATCTAATCATTCCAAAATATATTTTTCAATTTCACGCTGCTCTGCGGGGGGAGGGAAACGACGCGGCGAACAATGAATTGGAAGTTGATCTGTCAGCACTATCCTTATCTTCAGGGCAGATGTTTTTATTTTATTTGGCTTATAATTCCTTACTAAATGCAGTATTTCATCTCGATGTACTCCGTCTTTGATATGATTTAAATCAAGTTCCTCGTCATTATAATTCACTTCCCATAGTGAAGAAAGTGACGCAGAGGTTATTGAAAACGAAAAAATTTCGATTGACAAATTAGTCGGTATTCTCGACTCAGCAATTATAGGACTTGAACAGCGGAACTTCGTAACTAAACAAGAAATTATGTCTGTTTAATAGAATTAAAGAGAAAGTATTATCACATGAAACGAAGCAACTTAAACAACTTACAATGAAAGAAATGTTTAATAAAATAAACAAATAAATATTAAGCTTTTTCTTTTTGTAAATTTTGATACCCTTTAGATCATAATTGTTCTTTATTTCATAAATTACGGTTTCATATTTTTAATTTTATAATTTCTGTATGCCATCTTACCAGATTTAAACTGATGATCTATAATCCCGAATCGCCAAAGTCCCGACGAGTCCGGATTAACGACTTTTGACTGTACTAAAATATCAAATTTATTAAAAAAAAAAAAAAAAAAAGAAAGAAAACAGCGAACATGAGACAATAAAACTGCATCAGTCTATTATTGGCTGGTCACAGTCCCAGCTGCAAGCACATGTAGGGGCAAGCAGCCATTGATCATGATGTCGGCCCATACCATACTACCACATCATGCATTGGTCCCCTTTTTTGGGTTATTATCTGAACAATAAGCAGTACCACTCTTAAGCCAGATTAGATGGCATTTACAAGCCAATGAGAGATTGAAGCTACTCTTATCGGAGAATACTATGCTATCCCAGTCCTATTCAGTCTAACTGTGGTGCTCATTGTGGTATATTGAAATTACAGGACTTAATCATAATCAAAAGCAGAACTCGCACGCCAAGCGAGTGTGAACTGGTATTGAGACTAAAAAAGTTGGTTTTGGTTTTGTAGGGGGTTAATACAGAGAGGATGTTTTCTGTATAAATAAAAGTGTCTTGTGAAATGAATATATAATGACAACCCAACAAACTGGTGATGATAGCTGCGAAAAAGTAAAGTAACAAAAAGAAGAGGGAAAGCGAAAAGCTTTATAGCGACCGGATAATCACGTTTGGTTTCGGATAAGGAATTTTCTGAAGACAGCCTCAAAGTAAAAGTTTTATAGTTATTTTTTTCGATTGAATTAAACATGCAGCAGCTTGTAACTGAATTGACAGAGCAAAATAAAGCTCTCATGGACAAACTTACTTCAGTTATTACTCCACGAACTGATAATTCGAAACTTTCCGTTAAGTTCGAAAAATATAACAAACACGATATTTATTTAATAATTTTATTAATTTGATGCATTTTTAGAAAGATCTGAAAGTTGCTTAGATATGCAAAATGTTTCAAGAGATAAATGTGGGAAAGTACTGATTTCTAGTTTGTCTGGAAAAATATATAGCCTTTTAAAAAAATCTTGCTGGCTCCTGATAATCCTTCCGATAAAGATTATGATGTGTTAAAAACAACATTAAGGAACCATTTAAATCCTAAGCCACTTATAATACCTAGCAGACATGCATTTTCAAATTGAATAGAGCACAAAGGGGGGGGACAATTAACATATAAAAGGTTAGGATCACTCACCATATCATGTGCTTACGATCGGAACATGCTAAATAGGATGCTGTGGGATGTGTTTGTTAGTGGGCTAAGAGATAGGATTATTCTACATATAATTTTTGAGCAGTATTATATTAATTTAGATTAGGGGTCTTCAACCTTTCACGCTCAAGGGCCACATCAATAAATTCATAAAGATCCATGGGCCACATGTCTATCCAAAAAAAAAAAAAAAAAAGTGTAGTCAGAAAATTTATATAAAAAAAAGGAGGTTTCTTTTGCAAGACTACGATGAATTCTAAGCTAAGACATAGTGTTACAGATTTGTATGCACATACATTGGCTCCAAAACGTCAAATGGAAATCGAATGAAAATATTTTGCAACTTTTTTTAACAATGGGGGGAAAAAAGTATAAAAATGATTGTAGAGAACGATGTTACAAATTACAATGGTTACTTGATTGGATTGCTTGATCATTGGTTTTACTTACTTCAGTATCCGGTTTAATCCGTGTTATTGCAATTTGTAAAGTTTCCTCCAAATGCTTGTCTGTCAGCCATGTTCTTGTTTTAGATTTTCGGATTTTCATTTTACTAAAAAGCTGTAGGTACTGCCAAACATAGAAGACATGAAGAATGCATGTTTATGAATTCAAGGATACTTGTCTTCGGTCATGTACTTCGAAGTCACGCTGTAAATCTATAAATTTTAATTGAAGTTCAGGTGGAACACTTCCAACGTCTATTGAAAATGGCAAGTAGAACATTCTTATAAAAATTTCATTTTCACGAAAATTGGAAAATCTGCTTTTGAATTCCTCTTTCGAATTTAAAATGCCTTGTACATAATTATTTGAATTCCACATTGTACAGTTCTTCATACACTCCATCAATTTTGGAAGTGAGTGGAATTCTTATTTAGCAACTGATTTTCTCATAGGATTAATTTTTTCTGAAAAACTTTCACAAAGTAATAAAGATTATGAATAAGTACATCTTTTCTCAGCAAGCGGTAGTTCAAATCTTTGAGATGAACTATAATATCGACAAGAAATGCAAAGTCTCTCAACCATTTCTCGACACTGAACTCGTGAATAGATTTTTCTTTAAATTCCATGAATTGTTGAACTTCGCTCTTCTAAGAAAACAGGCGCTGAAGCATCTTTCTTCGGCTCAACCAACGTATTTCCACGTAATGCACAATATTACCATATTCAGCTTCCAAATCACTTAACTGTTGAAATTGCCTGTGATTAAGTCCTTTAGACCGAATGAAATTAACCACTTTTACAACAACATTTATCATATGTTCTAAGTTTGAGAAGGACTTCTTGCACAAATTTTCTTGGTAGATGATGCATTAGAAAGTCATCACAGTATTATTTCCACTTGCGTGCACATTAGACTTGAGTAATGTTACTCCTATTTTCTCTCCAGTCATAGATTTAGCACCATCCATGGTTATAGCAGATACTGAAGTCTAAGTCACATTTATCCAAAGTTTGTGTCAGACTAGAATGCAAATCTGTTCCTCATGCACCTTTAAGTGCAACGACACTGACTAATTCTACTTGTGCAGTATCTGTTGATTCATCCATCGCTACAGAATAAAACTTAAATTTTTTGCATTTGGATTTTAATTAACTGAATATATCTGTTGGGAGATGCTCTATGCGTCTCGCTCTGTCACACCAGACAATCTAATATTTTATATGACTTGAGTCTGTGATGGACAAAGCCCATCAACTGCACTCTGAAGACATTCTTTTACAAATTCTCCATCAGCAAAGGGTTTTCCACTCTTAGCAATTTTTTTTTCCTGTTATCATGTAACTAACATGAACACTATTTTCAGATTCTTTATTCGCTGTGGTGAAGCATTTATATAAGATAAAGTGAAATTTTTGAGACATTCCTCATTTTCAGAAAATTTTATCTCAAATAATAT